GGCTCCAGCATTTCCGGGCACATCCCCACGGGCTTTCTGCCCCCGCGCCCTCCAGTGTGGACCCTGATTCCCAGCGTGGCGCTGGATGCCATCCCCATTGCCATCATTGGCTTTGCCATCACCGTGTCCCTGTCGGAGATGTTTGCCAAGAAGCACGGCTACTCCGTGAGGGCCAACCAGGAGATGTACGCCATTGGCTTCTGCAACATCATCCCCTCCTTCTTCCACTGCTTCACAACCAGCGCGGCTCTCGCCAAGACCCTGGTCAAGGAGTCCACGGGCTGCAGGACGCAGATGTCCGGCATGGTGACCAGCCTGGTGATCCTCCTGGTCCTCCTCGTCATCGCCCCTTTGTTCTACTCCCTGCAGAAATGCGTCCTCGCCGTCATCACCATCGTCAACCTCCGCGGAGCCCTGCGCAAGTTCAGGGACCTGCCCAAGATGTGGCGCCTGAGCAGGGTGGACACGGTGATCTGGGCGGTCACCATGGCGGCCACGGCGCTGGTCAGCACCGAGATCGGGCTCCTGGTGGGGGTTTGCTTCTCCATGCTCTGCGTCATCTTCCGCACCCAGCGCCCCGAGGCGCCGCTGCTGGGCTGGGTGGCCGAGTCGGAGACCTACGAGTCCCTGTCTGCCTACAAGAACCTGCAGACCAAGCCTGGCGTGGTGGTGTTCCGCTTCGAGGCCCCCATCTACTACATCAACAAGGAGTGCTTCAAATCCACCCTCTACAAGCAAACCGGGGTCAACCCCGCCTGGGTGAAGGCAGCCAGGAAGAAAGCAGAGAAAAGAAAGCTCAAGCAGAAGGAGGAGGGGTCTGGGGACAAGCAGAGCAGCCTCCCCGTGGATTTGGGGTCGGAGCCAGTGGGGTTTCACACCATCGTGATCGACTGCTGTGCCGTGCAGTTCCTGGACACGGCCGGCATCCGCACGCTCAAGGAGGTCTGCAAGGACTACAGGGACATCGACGTCCACGTGCTGCTGGCGCAGTGCAGCCCTTCTGTCAGGAGCTCCCTGCTCCGAGGGGAGTTCTTCCAGGAGGGGGAGGACCAGCTGCTCTTCCACAGCGTGCACCAGGCCGTGGACTTTGCCCTGGGCACGCAGGGGCACGGCGCTCCGAAGAAATAGATTGGAAAGAGAGGGATTGGAGCAGTGGCTGGGCAAACGTGTCTGTACATGTGTGAAATCAATGTGTTTGTGCTCAGGGAGCAGGGCAGGGTGGTGCCAGCACTCTGGTGCCCTGCAATCTCTCTGGATTTACCTGCCTGGGGTAGTGATTCCATGGCAGGGGCTGAATGAAGGCAGTTCTTAACTTGATTGCGGCCAATCTGCAGATCTTAAGTTTCCATGGGGTTGTTCAGCTCATGTCCTCTCTAGAGCTTTCTGTGTCTCAGTTCCACTCTGAAAAGTGATCAAGTCTTGTTTGCCACTCTGTCCTTGTGGATGGGGTGGGATTTTGGAGTAGCCTGGACATCCTGTGCAGCTGAAGAATGAGGCAACTCATTTCTCATCCCTCATTCTGGCGTTGCTTTCCATCACCACGCCCTTGTGTTTGCCCAGGAAACGCTGCCAGAGACTGTTTGCTCTGGTCTTTACTGGGCAGTGCTTCAATTTGCAATCTCCCTGAGTTTCAGATAGAGAAATCAAATCTAAACATGCAGGAAAATATCTCAATGAATATCTTCTAAGCAAGCACCTCTCACCTGCAGAGGTTTTGGCACTGCCTCCTAAATTCAGCCAGGCCACGAGGACATGGTTATCTCATTTCTGCACAGGCCTTTACCTGCCTGTGCCCATGGAAATGCTGCCTCTCCAGCTTGATTTTAATGATTTCTTTTCCACAGATGACTCTCTAGAAGTCTGATTCATTCTTATGGTCAGTCAGTTGTTTTCCTAATATTTAGGAGCTCTTTAGAATTATGAACATTAGATATAGAAAATATCTAGCTCTTTAATTTTGACCAAAAAAGTCCCTTCTAGGCAGTTTTTTATGCCAGGTAGAGGGAATCACAGGCACCAAAGTGAAAAGGGACAAATAAATTATCCAGCATGTGCCCAGATGTGTCCATGTCACACAGACTGTGCATGAATGCAGGATTTATTGGCTATAAACCCTTTGCTCTGTCCTGGACTTTATGCAATGGGAGTGCACACACCATTGGAAAAGGAGCCAGGAAAATTCTTTCCTGGACCTTTTTTTTTTACCAGGTCAGTATAAATAGAGCTTTTTCCTTTGATTTTAAATTCTGTGGAAGTGGAGAGTGCCTGTTCTTCATGCTAAAATACAAGGGTAGGATTTTTTACTGCTTTCCTCCCAGCAGTAGAATACAATTGTGAAGGCAGAATTGAGAGATTAACAGTTTTTTCCTGAATAGCAGCTCTACACAGCACACATCCCTGCAAGAGGGTGCTTTCCTGCCAGAGGAGTTTACAATCTGAATTTCAGATGCTTCACAGCTTTTAAAAGGGAAAGGTGCTGTGAACAGGCAATATTCTCATCCTTAATAATTAAAAAATAATGAATCAGAAGTCAAAAAAGGTGTAAAATCCAATATGAATTGTGAAATGTTTACTAAGTAGAGATTTTGAGTTTAAACTGTTTTGTTGTTGTTTTTTTGGGGTTTTTTTGAGCAAGCACCAGTAACACTATTCTTTCTGTGAAAGCTGAGTGTCCTGGATCACTTCACTCTGGGAGCCTCAGAGAAGGATGAGGCAGCAGGAAGATGAGTCCTTTTCTTGTTAACTGAATTTACTGCGTTTTTGAGGGCACAGAGCAGCACAGAAGTGCTGGGGAGGTGAGGGGTGGCTGCAGCACAGCTTGGGAAATGAGAACCTCACTGATCCCCACCCATGGCACTGGTGAGGAAAAAGCCTCTGTGTGTCCCTGGGAAAAGCCAGGAGTGGGACAAAAGCCAAATAACATCTGCTCCGGGTGATTCTTCCCTCTTCCCCTCTCTCCCTTGTTCTTTCCATGCTGCCCAGGTGGAGATTTTTTCACCTGTGACCCTTCACAGGTTTGTGTAACCGAATTCCAAACCTTTATTTATTAAAAGATGGTTTTGTAAATCCTTTCCTGCCTGTGCCAGGAAGGGAGGAATAGCAGTGTTAACTCCAAAAAGGACCCGCTTCCTGCAACTAGTGGGATATGTATTTGTGGCTCCTGGGTATGTATTTACATAAAAGCACAATAAAACAGCCATAAAATAATTTTTCAGGTAATTAAATTAGATTATATCTAAAAGATGTGCTGAACGTTACCTGGAGCACGTTGCATTTGGCCTCAGTGCTGTTTGTGCAGCCTCCAAATTTCATTTCCAGCAAAACACAAGAAACTATTAAAATGCAACAGCAAAAGCAGTCCAAATAAATACTTTTAATGTTCTTATTTAAAATTAATAATATCTATTAATGCACGCTGCCCTGGCTAAATTGGAACTGAAATAAATGCCATTTGCCAGAGTTCAGTGCAGTAGGGAGGTCTTGGGGAATTAACTGGAGATTAAAGCTGATTATGGCTGGAATTTCTTACAACAGTGGGTTTCAGCCCTGTTCCTCTTGGGCCTGGAATTGTTTTTTAGCAGTGACATGGATCTGATTTGATCCTACTGGCAAGCAGCACATTTTTTGTTTATGGACCTTTTAAAGCAATCCAGTTTATCTTTAGGAATTGGGGATCACTGATTGGAAACTTTTCCTCCAAAACACTGTTTTATGAAGGAATCCATATATTTATATGTTTGTGTTTTGCTGCTGTGTGATGGATGCAGCAGCTGGATATCTCCATTTATGCTTTTGTGATATTCCTGTCCTGTCCTGGAAGGGCTCTCCTGCCTTCTGCTGTTTGAAATGAACAGTGCTGGGCATGTGACATGTTTTTTTAAGAGGAAATCTGTCGCACTCACTGCTTCCTGTGCCTTCCCCCATCCCCTGAATTTGTGAATTTGTGAATTTGGCCCCTCAGAACGTTTGGGTTTGGGTTATCCCTCGGCCTGGAGCAGGGATCTTCCTCCCAGTGCAACCTGCAGAGCCCCAGGCCAGGCTGGAAGCTGGTGTAAATCAGCTCAGCTCTATTCCCCAATGTCCCAATCAACAATTACCAGTCTAAATGAAGAATTAAGAGATCATTAGCACGTTCATTAATGACACAACAGAGCATTATGTAAATGAACTCTGTCTCAGCTGTATTGGAAATCTCTTTAGCACTCTCCTGCTGAATGCCAGGCTCTGTTTTTTCCTCGAAAATGTTTCACTTGTCTGAGCGTTCTGACACAAAAACCATTTTCAGTCCACTTCAGAAAACCGGGACAGGCACTGCAGTGGGCACGGGGAGCTCTTTTGGGTTTCATGCTGACATTTCCAAGCTGGGACTGAGTGATGCTGATGAGCTCCTCCTCCTGCTGCTTCCTCCTGGCTTGTGCTGCCAGACTCTCAATATTGACTGTAAACACAAGAAGCTGTGTGTGATGAATTCCATGTGACCTGCTGCTCCCTTTGCGTGATCTTTTGATAAAGCCAAAGCTCCTGAGCAGTAAAGTGAGTGTAAAACAACCCCAAAACCCCCCCAGTCCTCTGGGAGAACCAGAACCTCAGCCTGCTTTGGGGCTGGCAGGGGGTTTGTGGGGCTCTTTGTGCTGCCCAGCTGAACCTGGAGGTGTCTTTATTTTGGGATTTCTGTGATTTGTTGTGTCTTTGTCCACAGTGTGACACCTGTAGAAATCAGGGATCTCTGGGTTTGTTGGTTTTTATTTTTGTGTCATTGTAATCTCAGTCCACACCTGGCTGTGATTTGGTGTCATGCCTTTGTCCACAGTGTGGCACAAGCAGAAATGATGGATTTCTGGGTTTGTGGTTATTTATTTTTGTCTCACTGTAATCTCAGTCCACACCTGGCTGTGATGCCTTTGTCCACAGTGTGACACAAGCAGAAATCAGATGTTTCTGGGTTTGTTGGTTTTTATTTCTGTCTCATTGTAATCTCAGTCCACACCTGGCTGTGATNGCAGCTGGCAGGCTACGAGGACAGCAGTGCCGCCCTCGGGGACAACTCCAGCTCCCCCAGGAACGGGACAGAGCCCTGTGACCGCAGCTGCTACGCCATCACCGTGGCCCTCTCCTTGAGCTTCCTGGTGGGCCTCTACCAGGTACCAGTGTTCACCCTGGTGCTGTTTGCTGCTAGGAATGTCTCTGAGTTTGGGGATCTCTAAGTGTTGGGTCAGATTTAAGAGTTCTGAGAAATGTTTCTAGACCCTGACACTTGAATGTTTGTGAATGCAGTGACTTTAAAAGTGCAAACACAGCTGAATGGGGTTTGTTTTCCTCCATGGATAACCTTGGATGTGTCTGAAGCATCCTCAGCAAGGGAAGAGAAGGATCTGTGAACCCCCTTCCCACCACCTCAGTCCTGCAGCTGCACAGCTCAGAGCAGGTTTGGGGCTGTCAAGGACCATCCTGAAGGACCATGCCATGCTCCCTGGCAGTGCCCCCACTGAGAAATTCCAGGCTTTTTCCAATGGGACAGCTAAAATTCAGGGCATCCCAAGTGGGTGCTACCCAGAGCTGCTCTGATGGGGCTGCTTGTGAGGAGGCAGCAGTAGGGACCTTGTAGGATTTTCTGAGTGGCATCCCCAGCCACAGAGAAGTGTTAAAGGTAGGTCTCTCTGGTTTTCCATACCCCAAATTAACTCCTGAAGACAAATTAATATCCCCAGCCAGAGCTGCTAAAGTGGCAGCAAAGTGACATGAATTGCCAGCCACCCCTTCCAGCCCTTCTCACCCGTGCTGAAGCTGTGGCTGCTTTGCTTTCCAGATCCTGCTGGGGGTTTTACAGATGGGCTTCGTGGCTGTCTACCTGTCAGAGCCTCTGCTGGGTGGCTTCGTGACAGGCTCCAGCCTCACCATCATCACCTCCCAGATGAAATACCTGCTGGGCCTGAAGATCCCCCGGCACGAGGGGGTGGGCTCCTTCATCCTCACCTGGGTGGACCTCTTCAGGCACATCCGCAACACCAACATCTGCGACCTGCTGACCAGCCTGGTGGCCTTGGCCATCATCGTGCCCGTCAAGGAGCTCAACGAGCGCTACAAGGAGAGGCTGAAGGCCCCGTTCCCCATCGAGCTGCTGGTGGTCATTGCAGCCACCCTCATCTCCCACTACTTCGACTTCGAGCGGCGCTACAAGGCCGCCGTGTGTGGGGACATCCCCACGGGCTTCAGGAAGCCCACTGTCCCAGACTTCAGCCTGTTCCCCAGCCTGGCACTGGATGCTCTGCCCATTGCTGTCATTGGCTTTGCCATGACCGTGTCCCTGGCAGAGATCTTTGGCAAGAAGCACGGCTACGCCGTCAGCGCCAACCAGGAGATGATCGCCATCGGCATGTGCAACCTCATCCCCTCCTTCTTCTACTGCTTCGCCAGCTCTGCTGCCCTCACCAAGACCCTGCTGAAGGAGTCCACGGGGAGCCAGACCCAGGTGTCCGGGCTGGTCACCTCGCTGGTGCTGCTGCTGGTGCTGCTGTGGATCTCCCCGCTCTTCTACTCGCTGCAGACCTCCATCCTCGGCGTGGTCACCATCGTCAACCTGCGGGGTGGCCTCAGGAGGTTCCGGGACACGCCCAGGATGTGGCAGCTCAGCAAGCTGGACACGGCGGTGTGGTGGGCCACCATGCTGTGCTCCACGCTGGTCACCACGGAGATCGGGCTGCTGGTGGGCGTTTGCTTCGCGCTGCTCTGCATCATCTTCCGCACGCAGCGCCCGCGCGCCACGCTGCTGGGCAGGGTCAGGGACAGGGAGGTGTACGAGGACCAGGCCGCCTACAAACAGCTCAGCAGCATCTCCAACATCAAAATCTTCCGCTTCGAGTGCTCCCTCTACTACGCCAACAAGGATTACTTCAAGGCCGTGCTCTACCAGAAAACCGGGCTCAACCCCGTGCTGCTGGCTGCCAGCCTGGGGAACCGGGCACGGCCAGAGCCAGGCAGCTCCAGGGGCTGCTGTGGCTGCCCGAGACAGGGTAGGAGCAGGGCTGAGAGCCCTCCAGGAGATGCCTGTGCCCCCTCCCCGGACATGCACACCCTGATCCTGGACTGCGGGGCCATGCAGTTCATAGACACCGTGGGTCTCTCCGCGCTCAAGGAGACGCACCACGACTACGAGGAGGTCGGAGTGCAGGTGCTCCTGGCCAACTGCAACCCCTCCATCCGCCAGCGGCTGCGGGAGGGAGGCTGGGCCGGCCGGGCAGGCGGCGCTGGGGGCCAGCTGGCCTTCCACAGCATCCACGATGCCGTGCAGTTCGCTGAGAGCCGGCGCCGGGGGGACAGCAGGGACAAACGGGCTGCTCCCCCGGAGCCCGAGGAACAACAGGACTTCCAGGTGTCTCTGTAGCCCTGGGTGCGAGCAGAGGTTTCTAACGGGAGCAGGTTCGGTGTTTGTGCCGTCAGAGCGAGCAGGAGGGGCTGGGATGCTCTGCCAGAGGGGCAGCAGGGTGGGAAGGGTTTGGGGAGGGCCGAGCCCGGGATGGGACCGGGAATTCGGGAAGGGTTTGGGAAGGGCCGAGCCCGGGATGGGACCGGGAATTCGGGAAGGGTTTGGG